CCCTCCCCTGCGCTGAGATTTCCTCGCCAATCTTCAAATTGTGAGCTCCGGCTTCTTCAGCTCGTGCCGGTGATTGTGGACTTGCCATGCGCTACCTGAGTGCCTTTTTCTTTTTCAGTCGACAATAGCGAGTGTTGAATCCATACGAGCAGCACATGCCGAGTTTTGTTGATTTGTGTCTGTGGCACAGAGAGAGGGAGAGAGGGTGGGTGTGAGGAAGGAGAAGAGGACAACTAAAGAACTACTTCGGTTTCTACCAGCGATAGGAACATGACATTGCTGACGGCAAAAAGAAGCAGGGTGGAAAAGGCGTAGGGAACTATGGTGGTTTCTCTGTCTATTTCTTAAGATTTTCGTTTCTATTCCGCTTCACAATGCTTTTTCCTCCCCATGTTTTTCTTCTATGGGGGTTCCATTTTTCTCTCTCTTTATTAAGATTACCCTTTCTATTTTGCTGCACCATGCTCCTTCCTCCCTATCTTTCTCTTGTATACCTTCCTCCTCCAGGTCTTTACTCTGTTGTTCTCCTCCACGTCAGCCTCTATCCAGAATGTGGATTCGGGTTCAATGTGGAAGCCTTGGACGCTAATGTCCTCCTGCCTCGAGGAGATCACAGGGAAGGGAATGGAGAAGCGAATCAAGCGATGATGATTCGAATGAAGAATGGAGGACGAAGAGGGCCAGAAGAGATTAAGTGATCATGATGCTGATGATGAGAGGGGGGGCAGGAAGATGAGGATGCTGGAGTCAAGAACGTGGAGGGAACAAGGGAAAGAAGGGGAAATCCTGGGAGGAGGTTGGAAGGGTGAGAATGTGGGCTGGATAGATGTGCTCGGGGACGGGAATCGGGAGAGAAGGCGGGAAAAGCATGTCCACAGGGTTAGGCAGGGGGGAAGAGTCGAGATCGCAGGACTGGGGAATGGAGGAAATCGAAATAGAGGAAAGCTCGAAATCGTGATAGCGGGGGGGAGAGTCGCACGCGCGCGCGCGCGAGAGAGAGAGAGACTCCACTTTGCTGCTGCCGTCGCCCATTTCTGCCCTCCCTCCTCCCGACTCCACCCAACTGGACGCACAGTGACGGAGAGAGAGAGAGCTACCACCCTGCCACAATCGACTTTTCCGCACCGCCGCCCATTAATAACCTCCCTTCTCCGGGTTGAGCCCATCTATGCCCGACTAGACCCGGCGCACAGAGAGAGAGAGAGAGAGCTGCCACCCTGCCACGCTCGATTTTTCCGTCCCCGCCGCCCATTTCTGCCCTCCCCTTCTGCCGGCTGCACCCATCTATGCCCGACTAGACCCATCTTCACCCAACTCGGCGCAAAGAGAGAGAGAGAGAGAGAGAGAGAGAGAGACAGACAGACAGACAGACAGACAGACAGACAGACAGAGCTGCCACCCTGCCGTGGTGGACTTTTCTGCCGCCGCCGCCCATTTCCGC